GCGAAACTTCAATGTGAACGTTTTAATTCGCGTGCGTAGCGAGCGACCTCTGTGAACGCATTGTAAGCCAAGGATTTAAAACAAATCGTCAGACGCGGGGGATGCTAAGCGATGCGATCAATCCCTATTTGAAATTGTACTTTTTTTTTAAAGTTATTTTATACGCATCGGTTTTTGAGTTTAGTTCAATCCGTAAAATTATTTCTTGTAAATTTATTTTTTTATTGGTGTCGTGTCATCGTTCGAAACGAAAGATTCAAAACGAATCATATGATTACGTAACTCAAAGCAATATTTAAACAGGAATAATACGTGTTTACAACGATAATAGATATTTATATTAACAAATAATAGATTAAATATTTAAAATAAAATTAATATTTACTATTATATTCACTAGGCACGTCCTCGCAACACCATAATTTTTGTAGAAACCTATTACTACTAATAATGATGTACCTACCGCTAGAAAGTGAGAATACCAAATGTTTACGTATATTTATAGCGTTTTAATAAAATCTATTCCAATTGAAGTTGTTTTCATTACTTTTTATTTTATTTGTATTGCTAAGATTGGATTAGCTCACGGCTTATCTGGTGTTAATTGGGTACCGGAGCTCATAGACATTGACAACGTAAATGCCGTCACATACCTTTAGACATGAGTTCTAAGTCTTAGTTCTATAGTACAACGGCCGATCTACCTTTAAAGCCTTATTGCTTCACGGCAGAAATAGGAAGTGTGTACCTACCGCCCTACCCGGCCGTCTCACAAGACGCCCTACCGCTAGTAATTAGGCAAAATTATTTATCATGGAATTCATTCGTGATTATATGCAGTGCGTATTTCATTAGAAAATTTGGTACCTGTCTATGGGAGTGACGCACTTTATCTATAAAGCTATATCTTGGAAAACTAGGAATGAAATACGGGTATTACAAATTGAGTTGCGCACATCGATAGCCGATATAATAGACATACATTGTACCGAAATGTTGGCTATTTATTAGAGGCGGAAATCTAAGTGGAAGAAATGATTGTTCTGCCCTTCGAACTAGCACGCGCATTACTCAGTGGTAGAAATAGGTTGGATGGTCCATTGGATATGGAATTCCACACAAAGTTAGCACAACACTGTTTATTCACGGAACGATTATCGAACGAGCACTATGCGAAGGACTAGAAATCAACGGTACTACAAAGTGTAAATTTAGAGGCATCTATCCAATAAGCATGAATTTTAGTAGTCTCGTAGTTTCGCGTCAATTTAGTTTTCTTCATAAATACATTGCGTTACTAAAGACCAGTGATGATTAGCCCACTGAGTTTCTCGCCGGATCTTCTCGGTGGGTCGCGTTTCCGATCCGGTGGTAGATTCTGCGAAGCACTGCTCTTGTTAGGGTCAGTGTTAACATCACTCCGGTTTGAGCCCCGTTAGCTCACCTACTAGTTAAGGTTACGTTGAAATAGCCTCTCAAGGTTATCAGCTTATCTCTCAAGATTATAAGGTTATCAGTAGAAAAAAAAAAGAAAAAAAGGTGAAGTCAGCAAAAGTAATCATTGAATCTCATTACCTAAATCTACATACATATCACTGGTTCCTCGGAAGATTAATGCAATTGTATTTATTTGAACAGCCCCAAATGAAAAGTAATCGTAAAATCTTTAAATTTGAACATAATACGATTGTTCTTCTTACAGAATCACCAAACAATAAAAGCATTAAAACAAAAGACTAATTTAATTGTATTTGGAAGGTAAGTGATTGGCTCAACGCCAGGAAATGAAATCAAATGTAAGAATAGGGTTACTCTGATTTTTGCAAATGCAAAGTATAAAATTTAAGACATAATTGAGTTGACCCCTTTAAATTTACGTTAAAGCAATCCCGGTATTTTTAGGTATATACTTACGTCTTGAAAAAGGACAGTTAAATTAATTATAAAGTCTTTCATTGTTTAGCTCACGGCTCGCCTGGTGCTAAGTGGTTACCAGATCTCATAGATCTCACAGACAACAATTTGAATGCTGGCCACGCACATCGAAACACAACTCTTTAATTTGATTTTATAACACGAAGTTATTTCATCGTTGAAATAATTCGCGAACATTTTTTTTTATTGCTTAGTTGGGTGGACGAGCTCACAGCCCACCTGGTGTTAAGTGGTTACTGGAGCCCATAGACATCCACAACGTAAATGCGCCACCCACCTTGAGATACAAGTTCTAAGGTCTCAAGTATAGTTACAACGGTTGCCCCACCCTTCAAACCGAAACGCATTACTGTTTCAAGTTTTTTCAAGTTCAAGTGATGGTACCCACCCGCGCGGACTCGCAAGAGGTCCTACCACCAGTAAAAATATTTTTTTTATATGTACGTATATTTCATTAGAAATATTTGTAACTGTCTGCAGGATTTGAACACCATTCACCGTCACAGTCGCATCATTTCATACGAGTTCGCTGGACGTTTCATCCTTTAGGCCAAGAGGACTTCAACTTAATAATTTTCTAAATTTACTTATTTTTAAAATGAATAAATTTAACTTAAACTCCTAATTTTATGCTTGTTTAATGCAATTTTGTAATTTCGTTTTAGACAAAAAAGGATTATACCTAATATTGAATACTAAGTAGGCTGTTGTTTGATCATTTTTAATTAATATTATAAAAACAGAGAATCTCGGGCCCAGATTTTACGTAGAAGGCAGTAACATGTTTAATCGATTTTTATTGAATATAGATGTTTCTGGGATAAAAACTTCATTTAAACCTAATTTTATGTAATTTTTTTAATTTTTTACTAAATTGTACAAAATTTTATTCACAATTAGGTCAAAGACTATACCTTCCTTAAAGGTAGCAACTATATTTTAAAATACATTATATGTGGATACCTTACACATGCTTGTGGCAGCTGGCACTAGATATTATCGATCTCACATTGCGGCGCCGGCTAACGACCACCGTGTATGTTTGTATAAATTCAATTATATCCAACAGCTATAAACCGGAATACTAAGCAGCTCTCTAGGATGTTAACGAGGAATGGTAACCGTAAAATTATATTTACATTGCCTCATGTTGCTGAAGAATAGGTTAGTTGCTGTAGGATTCGGCAGAATGTTTTAGTTGTAACAGCTGGCTTCGAACAAACTATGAGCTCAAATATATTAGCGGAATTAAACAGTGCGGAGCCCAGAAACTGAACACTGCCACTACTTGTCTTACGACAACGAACGCCGAAGTCTAAATTGTATTGTATAGCGGCTGCAAGAACGCATGACTGCTCCACGGCACAAATAGAGAGACTGTTACTTATTATTTTTTAACATAATAGTTTTGTAGATATTGTGAAGCGTTTAGGTACTTAATTATGCATCTTAACGGCAAGTGTGTTCAGTATGCAGTACCTGCATACCCTGAGTCGACACTATTTCTGCCGCGAAGAAGTTAAGGTTTCTGTGTAAAGGATGGAACAGCCTCGATCTTTTATGAAGTCGTCGTGGCCTAAAGGATAAGACGTCCGGTGCATTCGTGTTGAGCGATGCACCGGTGTTCGAATCCCGCAGGCGTGTACCAATTTTTCTAATAAAATACGTACTTAACAAATGTTCACGATTGACTTCCACGGTAAAGGAATAACATCGTGTAATAAAAATCAAACCCGCAAAATTTATAATTTACGTAATTACTGGTGGTTTAGCGCCGCGCAGCGCCTCGCGCGCCTTTCTCAAGGCGTAGTCTCCCGGTAGGAATTGGAAGAAGAGGAGGACTTTGGCCTTCCTCTTCTCCCTCTTCTTCTCTGGAGGCGCCGGAGTCCGACATAACCCGGTCTGTTACCCCTCTCGACCGGGCATCGGTAAATGGATACACCAGCGTTAAAAAAAAAAGGACCGGTTGTGAGTCCGCGTGGGTAGGTAGTACCGCTCTGCCTGTTCCTGCTGTGAAGCAGTAATGCGTTTCGGTTTGAAGGGTAGGGCAGCCGTTGTAACTATACTGAGACTTTAGAACTGATATCTCAAGGTGGGATGCATGGTTCAATAGTTATAACGGAACATCTGTAAAAACCATTGTAGACTTATATATTAGTATAGATATATTACAATTGCACGAATAACTTTGCTGAAAACGAGGGACAGATATTATTCATTTTATTGACACTTCACGCGGAAGGTCGATCGGAAATACAACTGAACACATTTATAAAGGTCGTCTTTCGTTGCTAATAGCGGGTGAAGTGGTCAATGCCAGCATCCGCATTATGAGACCGACTATTATAATTAGCCGTTGAGATGAGCCACATTGTAACGCTTTTATTAAAGTGTGCTTATAACAGTTAACACACTTTTTTATTTTTAAATATAGTTTTACTGTTATGAATCTTGACATTAATTTTAACTTCAACTATTAATATGAAATTCTAAATCGTATAGGTACGTTTATCCTCACAAAACTTAATGAAATACGGGTTTGATTTATGGAACTTCAAATTTATTTAATAATTATAGTTTTAGAACAACTGTCACACTGAATGAAACATTATAGTATTCAATAATGAACTTTGAATCATAATTTTGCAATGAGGTGCTGGCGCGTCAGACGCCTCTTTGAAAATAAATCGCCTTAAATATTGGGACGAATGCCCAACATTTAATGTTTCAAATTTCGTTTCGAATTAACTAAACGTCTAAACTGATGTCCGTTGACGTCGACGAAGCGAATCGGGCAGGGTCGACGGGTGTAGCGAGTGCGGCGCGCGACATGCTCTCGATGGGCCGAGCGTGGTGAGCGGTGAGCGCCCGCGGTGGCGCGCTGGTGTTGGCCAAAAGCCACAGGCACGTGGCGTCGCGCGACGCGCTCTCCGTCGCCTCCACGTAAACATGCCTATTTGCAAGACTGATCTTGGCCAGATCTTGACCCATTAACACCGGTACCGATGTCAGAGCTGTCGCTTGATATATTTTTAGACGGGCGGGCGGGTGAGGGGGCTTTGTTTCGTGTTTACGTCGGCCGTTCCACGGGCAGCATTCGACCGACGCGCGTTACGGGACCATGATCGGGAGAAAATGTCCACGAGAGGGATAAGGCGGAAGAAGTCGTCGTTATCAGAAGTGAAAGTGGCGGTGATCGGTGCGCCCTCAGTCGGCAAAAGCGGTACGTGTAGTTAGTTCCAGTGCTCTCGTTGTGTCTGTGCGATCTTCGGTACTTATCTAGTGAGTGATTACAGATTAGTCTCATCGGAGTTATTTACAATTTTGTACGGTATCAAGAGCGACGTTGACTGTTTGCCTTTTGGAATAGATGTTCCACATCCGCGTGCTACTCAGAAAATTAGTACTTATGCCGTTAATATAAATTACAATCATGATTACAACTTTATTATTTAATTCGGAAAGGGTTAAGTATGCTCTAAATTTCGATCGTGACTCGTGGTGAATCACAGCATGGTGTTTTTAGATAATATAAAAATAATCTCGTATGCATAGTCGGTAAAGCGACAGACATTTCGGATATTAGAATAGCACCTTTATATAAATAAATTCGATGAGGTACAAGTGTTGTCTCAAGGTTTGAATATTTTCAGATCGTGAACGTTTCCCGTCAATAAAACGAACGGATTCGATAAGCAATAAAACGCGGAATTTATTATCAATCATAATAATGTTCGGATCAGAGTTGGCTAAGTTCAGTTGGCCGCGTTGCTCCCGCCAATAATCGCAGTTGATACACAATACTGCGTCGTAAACACGCAAGTAATAAATTAAAAAGCATCTGTTAATGATTAGAGTGAAAATCGAAATTTGGATATTCTATTTACCATTTTCTTATAGGTTATTGAAATGTTTATGTGATGATTTGAATACAGGAACCTTTGGATCGCTAAGGAGAATGCATTATCATTATTACGTACAGAATAAGTTTTAACGTTTTATAATTTTACTGTTTCAGAAAATTTGCTCGTTGCGTTGTGTTGAAATACTAGGAAGCTTTGCGAGCTACGCGATTGAATGCTTTATTTGTATGAAAAATGCATTTGGAATTTTCTTTTGATTGGTATTTCAATATGTATATTTGTGTAGATACACCTTACGCATAATAAAATATAAAAATAATGTATTTACGTTGACTGGCGTAGGATACGGCTTACATTTTTAAATGTAACCCATATTTTTACTAATAGCGAATATAAATATACTCTAAAAGACTTATTAATATGTGTCCTATAAAATGTGAACAGAAAGGAAACGACATTTTCTAAACTAAAATGGTATATTGAAAAGCAAATATTTTTTCAAACAGTTTTGTTTTAAATCAAAGAATTTAAATAACGAACTCTTTGGGCAGAGGTAGCAATAGATTTGTTAATATAAAAAGGTCACGGTTGATTAAATTTCAAAGAAAATAGGCATATTTTAAGGAATACATACGTGTAACGTAAACTCGGAGGGGTAAAGAAAGTTAAAAAAGGCTTTAAAATAATTAGATGTTCGTAAAACGTATAGAGAAAACTGTTAGGTAGTACTTAAAGAAGAGTACGGTTTGGGCCGTGATTAGGCTTGTTCAGAGCCTGAAGAGCTGAAATGAAGATGCTCAGATAGAGTTAAATATGAAGTGGAGGAGTATTATAAACAAAGCGGACCTTACCGCAACGTGGAATAAATAACTAGGAAGAGAGATAAAGAGAGAGAGAGAGAGAGAGCCACAAAAATATTACACTATTAGAATCTTATCAGCAGGTCAATCACTACATATTTGTTAACATAATGTCTCTTTGGTCATTATAATTATACAATATCATTGGATCATATAAAGCACCGAATACATCAACAATTGGCACGAACAAGGTCATGAAACAAGTGGCATCCCTTAGATGAAGAACACTTAATGACGTCTAAACGACGTCCCAACGAATTGGTCGAGCATCCATCACAGGCGATAATCTTTTTAATTAAAAAAAAAGACTGCTATTTGAAACTCAGAAATAGAAGAATGAATAAATTAGATGTTATTATAGGCTGATAGTGAAATAGACCGACGACTGGTGTAGGTTTTCTTCGGGTACCTATATAATAACTATTTCGTTATCGTAGCATTGGCCAAATTAATATACTTATATAACTGGCTGCTTATAAAGATACCACAGTCACAAGAATATCCAAATATCCATCGTTCTATCATCGTGAATGGATAAGGTCATGACCCACCTGGTGTTTAATGGTCACTGGATGGTGTGGTAGTTGTACCTACACGTGCCGGCTCCGAAAACGCCCTACCACCAGGAATTAATTACAAATACGAATTTTTGCGGGTTAGATTTTTATTACACGATGTTATTCCTTCACCGTGGAAATCGTGGATTCGTGAACATTTGTTAAATATGTATTTCATCTGAAAAATTGGTACCTGTCTGCGAGATTCGAATACTGGCACCGTTGCATCGGCCTCTTATCGTTTAGACCACGTGACGTTTTCAAAACTTACAGACGAGGACTTTCCGATTACCAACATCTGCACGTCAGCCCAATATCAGCCAAGTCCCAACAACCAACGCATGATAATCAATTACTTATAAAAGGGATCTGTTTTACTCAGCATAACACAAACGTGTTCCTACCTGCTATAACTGCAGGCTTTAATATAGTGACAAGTTCATTTCTTCTCGTATTACACCGACTGTGCAGTGAATGCGTTACCTGAATGGTGTCTTATCAGACACACCTTGTTTCAGACAGTTCAGCTCATATTTCCCCGGCATTGACTCATTTACTTAACGAACACCAATCTACTTCGTTCTAGAACATTTAAGAAAATACAACTCTTAATTCAAATTAGCACGTATTAAAAAATCCTTGGAAATGTGTTATTTACATCGGCAATTAGTGCAGAAGAGAATTTACTCAACAAACCGTATAAACAGCCCTACCGTAAATAATTAACTCAAGGGACGGATTTGGAAACGTTATTAGGTATGCAATACGAAAACTAGCTAGAACATATATTTATAGTTATACTCGTACTTATGACAATATTAGACAATAAACTGGTAGATTGTAACTAACGGTTTTTTATATTTGGGTACATGATTCGAATTATTATTTAAATTTACAGATGCTCGGAGGAGTTATTTGAGATGATCCTAACGTTTATATTTTATACACTAAGCCGCACCAAAACAGAGGAAGCCCTTTTTTTAACGCTGGGGAATCCATTTACGGATACCCAGTCGAGGGGGATAACGGACCGGGTTACGTCGGACTCCGTCGCCTCCTGACAGGAAGAAGGGGAGAAGAGAAGGGCCGAGGTCCTTCACCTCCCCCAATTTCTCACAGGAGACTACGCCTTGAAAAAGGCGCGCGAAGCACTTGCCCCGCAGAACCGACTATCGACTAAACCCAAACATAGAAGAAGCCCTGGATCTATCTGTAACTACCAGGAACCTTCGCGTTCATACATTGTCCTTTTAATAAATCTCTGCAGAGCCAAAATATTTGCTTTAATCGTGGTTCGAAAAAAGCTCTTCACCATTGATGGCAGGGCTGTGCCTTGACTTTGGTTCTGACTCAATTGTTTTCAAGATTTTTGTTATAAAACCGACACTATATTTGAACCCTAACAATTAATTTTAATAATGGCAAGTCATCTAGTTTTTTCGTTCCAGGACCATTTCTATTCGGGCATGGTCAACTCTGCCAATGATAGTATAAACACATAAATAAATTGAAGTCAGTGTGTCAACATATCAATTTTCTTTTTACTAGTGGTTCCCCGGTAGTCGAAATTCGACTATAATTAATTGAAATTATAAGTTTGTACACTATTATGATTCTATTGTCAAAGACTATTAATGTACTTTTATAATCACAGATTTCGCCAAGTCTATATGTACTATAGACAAATATTAATAAAAATAAACGATATTTAATCTATTCTCAATTTGACCATAGACATAAGCAATAAGAAAAGTTTTAAAATGAATAAATTTGCAATATGCAATCGTGTGTGTTTTAAATACATGTTAGTGTGTGTAATGTACTTTTTATTCTTTTAATGTAAAGGGGTACAAAGTTTTTGCTTAACTTATTAATATATATAGATAATTCTTGTTACTAAAATTATATAAGTAGTAGGTACTGTCAAAAATAACAGGGTCGCTGCTTAGCATGTGATTTACAGCCCCCTGCATTGTGACTTGGGTACGCGCCAGTTTAATTTTAAACCCCCATCATTATTTCGGTCTCAATGACGTACACATCGAGAAAAAAATAATTGTATAAACGTATTATGGTCGGTATTTATAATGTGACTGAAATTGCAGGAATTAATCAGTGCATAGCGTTAAAATTATCTAAAAAAATCATTATTTATATAGTATATTATTCGGTATTCGCGAATCTTACGAGTCAATAATCGGAAATGTAATAACGTTTAAGTAGTTTTAACTATGTTTTTTTTTTACAAACTCACTATACGCGTTCATAAAACTACATTAGGTACATTTTCCACTCAACGAGGTGAAAATATACTCAAGGTTGATCCCATTTCGTTTGTTTTAAATTCTAACTCACATCTGTATTTAAATAGCCAAAGACAAAACAACTAAGCGCCCTTATATCCTCCGTTTGTCAGCCGATTTTTTATTTGTCTAATAGCTACTGAAAGGTTAGGTATATATTAAAATAATTTTGATGTATGTAGTTTATTTTTTTAATACCAATAACAATGAAGAAAATGTGTCGATAAATGAATCTAAGTATTGAGGTGTCAATAACTATATTAGAATTTCTGCGAATTACGATCGAACATTAAATTTAATAATTGGATGTTGAAAATATGTATGTATCATGCAATTTTGAAATAGCAAATCTGCATACGTATGTAGTATGTACGTCATAATGAGTCAATGACATTTGAATAATACCTAGTTACTTTATTGGTTGAGGATACTTTCTTATTTTGGTTAAGCTTATGAATTCAAGCCTCATTGCCATTTGCGTTTATAATTTGTATTAAAATTTATGAAACACGAAACATATGCAATGTAACATAATGTATTTTTTTATCATGTACTCAAGAGTAGTCTTTTAAACGAGTTTATTGACATAAATATTTTTGAATTCAGCATAATAATATAATGATAATCATTTTATTATAGG